AGAAGGCACTCCTAGACGATAACATAAGATGTGTATAAGAGACAGTTCTATAGCTGTTTTATGTTCATTTGTAGGTAACTGGAGGAAATAAAGGAATTGGTTTTGCAATTGTGAGGGCGCTTTGCAAAGAACTAAAGGATGGTATCGTGTACCTGACTGCAAGAAATGAAGAACGAGGTAAAGCTGCTGTAGAAGAACTTAAAAAGGAAGGTCTGCAACCTCGCTTCCATCAACTAGACATTGATTCGCTGGAGAGCATCGACAGACTGAAGGAGTTTCTGAAATCCACTCACGGTGGCCTGGATATACTGGTCAATAATGCAGGAATAGCATTCAAGGTATAAATCACTAGCAACTTCACTTTTTCTACTTAAAAAACTGGTGGTGTTGTGGGTCTTGTCTCAACTCGCTTGTTATTAATATTTACATTTTTTAATACAGCGCCACCAATGAGCAATTTAATTTGAAGTTACCGTAATTGTCCATAGGAATAAATATTTTTCAAATGTTTTTTTTTTTTTTTTAATAAAAAGAGGGTATGGTGCTAAATTGACTATGGCATGCACTGAGCGTATGTAAAATGGATGGTGTACTATTCGCGAAGTATATTCCATCCAGTGGCATATCGAGGGGCTTGCAGCCAAAAAAAGGTGACCCCCCTCCCAGTTTCCCTGCCAAAAAGTTTTGAATAAATGACACTCATGTAGTTAATAATCATCACATCCTTTATTAGCTAGCGCCCCTCCATCTATCCCTCCCATTTCACCCTCACCCCCATCTACACCTCATCCCCCATCTTCATCCCCACCCCACCCTTCCCCCTCAAATCAGGTCTTACATTTTTATTCTGATGTGAGCCTGGAAGCTTAACATTCTGTTCCTTCTTAACTTCACACTTTTACATCATTGCCTTCGAGGTCAGTAGACTGTTTGCAATGATCTGCCAAATTGACCTTGTAAAGAGTAAATCCAGTGGAGGAATGATGGGTTGGGTCAAAGCTAAAGATAAAAATGAAAAGTAAGTTAAATACTAAATATGATTCCCTGCTTGATAAAAATGTCTTAGAAAGAACTAAAAAGTCAACAATCTGTTACTTGTAGTACAGTTATTCAACTAGATTACTGTATTATTACTAGAGCAGCTTAGCTCAAGTAAATTACTGTATTGAGATCAGCTTAGCTCAAGTAGGGCAGCTTAGCTCAGTCAGCTATCTGTGGTAGCCACTGTGTGTGTGCACTGAACCATGGAGATCCGTAGGTCCCCGGTTCAATTCCCATTGCTCCCTCTCCTTGTGTTTCAGCTGGAGGGCTGAAATACAAGTTACAATAGCGCACCGTCTTTCGGATGAGACGTTTAAGCCGTTGGTCCTGTGTGTATTTACGGCCCATGTGCACATTAAAGAACACAGTACAGTTTTTGGAAAAGAGTAAGGGATTGTCTCCTGGTGTACTGCCTAATCACCACCAGAAGGACCTCACTGGAAATAAGTCTTTTTCTTGACTTTCGTGGGCTATCCTTGGTGTTTACACCAAATAAATCTAATCCATTCCAATACAAACACAGAAAGCTGCTATATTAAAGACCTGTCCGAGAAAGTTCACTAAAAAGTCAACAATCTGTCACTTGTACTGTACAGTTATTCAAGTGGATTTGCGAACACGGAAAGCGTAGATGAGTAGACACACGCTGCCATTGGGGGACTATTTTTAATAGTGGCTTTAATGCATTTTGTTGTTTTCTCAGCAAAACGATCCAGCGCCCTTTAATGTGCAAGCTAAGGTGACCATAGCAACCAACTACACAGGGACATTGAATGTGTGTCATGCCCTTCTTCCATTAATACGGTCCCATGGAAGGTAACATTTACTTAAATTCATTTTTACATCTCTATTAAAGGTAAAATAGAAGAGTGGTATGAAAAAACACATTGGTTAGTGTTAATATTGTATATAGGAATGCAAGTACATTTGTATTTGCATTTTGGCATTACAGAGAGCCAACCCAAATTTCTCTATATGATTTATACATTGAGAAATATAGTTATATTGAGTATTAAGTATAGTGAGTAGGACTAAGTGCTTAAAATCAAAATGTGAAGGTGTGCCTCGATCCAGCGATTTTTTTTTTTGTCCTTTGCAATGCTTCTGCCCATCCTGAAGTAATTAGGATATTTGTACAGAGATAGTAAATTCTGTGTACAGATTCATTTAGCTGACTTTATATATTCTATACTGTAAGTATTAATATTCTACCATGTGTTGTACTGCAGCCTATCTGACCTGTTACAACAATTAATTATGTGAAGATTCAGTTTGTTATTGATTCTCAATGATACAAAATATCACCAAGCACATTGTGACATACTGTATTCTGTATTTGGGGCCACATGATTTATTTAAATAGAATATATTTTTAATAGCTAAAAAAAAAAGTTAAAATCAAAATAATTATTTCTTAACAGAGTTTGCCATGTTGCAAGTATGACTGGACCAATGGCATTTAACAAGATGAGTCCAAAACGTCAGCAAACATTTCGGGACGCAAAGACAGAAGATGATGTTAATAAGCTGATGGCTGACTTTGTTGAGTTAGTTTTGTTTCTTTAGTTTTTTTGTATGCAACTTTTAATAATCAACATCCCTTAAAATTTTGGAACAGTCCACTCTTAGATAGCACTTGTGCTGCATGCAACCATACTTCTCTTCCTCATTTTTCTATTGATAGAGTGAGTACTTGCTAAATTTTTCTATTTTATGTTTGATTATTAATATTCAATGTACACAAAACATATTTTTTATTGACAGGAGTGCTGAAAAAGGTACATTAAGTGAGGAAGGTTTTCCACAGAGTGCATATGCTGTTTCTAAGGCTGGAGTCATCACCCTTACAAGAGTACAGGCTTCAGCCATAAATGCAGACTCTTCAAGGCAAGATGTCCTGATCAACTGTGTAAGTTATGTCAAAGATCAAATAGACAAATACAGTACTTTGGAATGGATTTTAGCAGGGTGCTGTTGTGGTAGGGTGTATAACCAAAGAACTTAAATAGCAGAAGAATGAGCTGTTCCGCGTATTTGCATTAAAATTGATGGAACATCTGCAGAACTAGAGCGGCGCCTTTATTATTACTATATAGAGGCGCCGCGCGGATGCAGTAAAATTTTTCTCCGTGTAAGCACAATGCATTTCGACCGGATGTTCCACTATTTTGGGAAGCTGCTGTATCTTCTGCTATTTATTATCTTTGGTATAACTTAAGGCCTCTAGGGGAATAAATACCGTAAAACCTCGAATTGAAGCCCAATGGGCTTAATCTTGAGAAGAAGCCCATCTCCAATTGAAGCCCCTTCTTTAGGGGCAAAACAAATTACAAACATGCTTGGTTTATACAGTATTTTGGGTGATTTAATGTTAATCATACTCACTGATACAGATTGATGTTACAGTGGCCCTACTTATTGTTTTTAGTAGTAATTCCCCAAATGTACAAAATTTAGTTTGAAAAGAAACCCCCACCCCCAACTCTTTTACTTTGCAAATGTAGCCTCGAAAGGAAGCCCATCTCGAAAAGAAAACATATCCAAAGTTCAGACAAAAAAAAAAAAAAAAAAAAGCAGAAGCCCAACATAAATTATTAAAAAATAAATAAAGTTAGATAATGTTATTATACATATAATCAATCCTTTTATTGACAAACATGTTGAAAGCTAGCTGCTTACTAAATTTGGTATTTGAAAAATGGTAAAAATTCTACCACCAGTAAGGTTACCTGTACAGTATTTTTTTATCTCAACGTATACTTTTTCTTTAGTGTGTTTAAGGTTCCTGTTTTACTTTAATTGCTTTACACAACTGTTATTTCTGTATTTTTTCAGTGCTGTCCAGGATATGTTGATACAGATTTGTCTAGTCACAAAGGAACCAAGACAGTCGATGAGGGTGCTGTAACACCCGTTTATTGTGTCATGATACCAAAGAATTCAAATGAGACCCAGGGGAAATATTTGTCAGATAAAACTGTTGTTCAGACTTGGTAGCCTGTACATGTAATCTCTACTACTGTACTTAGTTACTGAAATGACTACTGGTTGTTCTGATTACGTCTTATTGTTTTGATTACACTTGTTTTTCTGATTACACTGGTTGTTCTGATTACACTGGTTGTTCTCATTATACCTAGTTTATTTTACACCTTGTTGAATATAATTACAATAATAGTTGAATTACAGTACACCTGATGCACACGGTCGAATACGTAGTAACTATTAACAGGGATACCCAGGCCTAGGAAAAAGATTTTTGTGCCTCTGTCCATGAAATTGTCTCGATAAAATGCCTCCAGCAACAGTTTATTATTTTAAATTGTTTGCCCTTCTTCAGATTCAGGATGCTGTCACTCTGATCGCCTGTCGTGGGGCTCTGCACTTTTTCCAGCCCTGGGAATACCTTTCTGGTAGTCCGCTACCAAGATTCGTCACTTTCACACAAATAAATACCAACCTTGCTAAGTCTGTTCAATTCATACGCAGACAATGAAGATACTCCCAACGCCAAAGTGAAAGATATGCAGTGCCATGTTACCATGCGCACTGATTCTTCCTAAGTATCTTGTGAACTTGACAGGTTTTCATGAGGTCTGTTGTTTTTTACTGAGATAACTTTGGTATTTTTATAAGGATATGAATGAAATACATATTTTTTTTTATAAGAACATCAAGTTTCAAGAACAAATTGAGGCTTAGGAGTGACTGTAACATACTATTGGTCTTATCTGTATCTTTTCTGCAGTAGGTGTGACTATGTACTGTAATACTCTCGGTAATACAATAGTAATATACAGCTGAGCTGTACAATAATAATTCGCTATCTTTGAAAAATGTGTAAGAACAAAATAAGAATATTTTCTAAACCTGAAATTGACAAAGGGCAAATTTTACTGGTTCTTGTTTTTTCCAAGTGCTTGCTAAGGAAAAATATCTTTGGTAAAATTTGTTAATATTTATTACATTTCTGATTGTGAATCAGGTGAACAGGGAAAAATGGTTGATTTAGCCAAAGGAAATAATTAGACTTAGTCAATACTAAAATGTGAATACTGAATTGTGATAGATTGGAAATAATATGATGTATCATTTCTATTTGAACCAAATATAAATTACATAGAACAGTACTATACAATTTTACTGAATTTTAAGAATAAAAAAGTAGTATTAATTAAAGTTCATTTTGCTTTTTTGTATTTTGTCATATTTGTATGCATGATACAGTCAGTTAATCATTTTTTCTTGGTCTAATTCATACGATTGATTATGCTTGCTAAATAAAACACCTAATATGTGGAATAAATCGGAATAATAAAAAAAATATTCCATGTGGATCTGTTGGATTCGACATACAGCATAATTAACCATGGAGATATCAATTAATTTACCAGAAAAGGAAATAACTGAACTAATGCAGAGAACTAATCAAAATAGCATGAATTGGAGCAGTTAAAATACAATAATAATCAATAATGGGAAAGAGGGTGCCTTGGCTGCAATACCGGCCTGATAAATGCAACTTTTTCAAAACTAACAACGCAGTGCGTCATTTCATTGCTTTTTTTCCCCATATTTATCTGCACAAATATTTCTTTAAGTATCTGTAACGGTTTCTCACCTCGATCACACTTTTGGTACATGCAGACCAAAAAGTAGTTAAAAATCACCTTTTTAGCACCTTATTTTGCCATCTAGTGCCCCTTGCATATTTTCAGTGGACCTTCTCACCTGTACCTTGGGGATGCAGATGCAACCCCTCCCCCAGTTTCGAAAGGTCTACTTTTTAAAACCTATTTTACTAAAATGATATGCATCATTGCATTGCCAGCTCGTATAGGGAATTTTATCAGCTCTAGTGATTGCAGATTGATCCATATAAACAAAAAGCTTCAGTGGAGGATCTAGGATTTAGCAATGTGGGATGGATAATGGGAGGTGAGAAAGACCAAGTAGACGATATGAGATGGCATCTGAAAAGAAGCAAGCTTAAAATAGAAAGTGTATGTTATACTAGAGTACACGAGAAGTACACATACAAGACGAGTGACCATTATTTTTTTTTCCGCAGTAAACAAAAGGGGGTGAGCTTTGATATAATGCAAGCCTGCATATGAAAGGGGCAAAGATAATACCTTTACAGGTCCCTATAACAGCACTCAACTGAATGGAAATTTAAATAGAATTTACACGAATTATGGGTTTCAGAAATTCGGCCTCAAAATGCTACATTTTGTGGGCTTCCGAGGGACTGTTCCCAGACCCCCACTGGGGCTGTGCCCCTGGACCCTGCCAGGGCCCTAAATGGCCCTTTAGCCTAAGAATCGCAACGCACCACTCCCCTATCAAATGTCTGCCAACAGGCCAGTTCCACTACCGTTTATAATATCTGATGGTTATATTACCATCATCCTACACCAAACATTCATCAACGTTAATACATATTAAAGACATTACCTGAGTAAATAAAAACTGAATAAGTTTCAGTGACAGCAGCAATCTTTGCTGGCTTCATCATATGATCACCTCATGATGTCAGCATACAGCTTGTCTAATTAATAATTTAAGTTTATCATCATTATTAGAAGTGTTACCAGTGTTTTTATTATACTAAAGGATTATACAGTAGCATTTTATGAGAAAGGTGCATCGTAACTTGTTCTTCACATGCAATCCAATTTTTAATGCAAGTTTTAAATTAATAACAAAATGAGCAGCAAGTGGTTTCAAACCGCTAGAAAACAAGTGGATAAAGTCCGGCCCACGGGCTACATGCGTCCTGTTGTTGATTTTGGTATGGCCAAAAGAAAATAAAGTGAAATCCCTATGTGTGTGGCCCGCTAAATATCTTTGGCTAGAAAACCCCTTGTTTTGTACGGCACGACACCGGTCATCTTTAAAAAGTAATATTAAAATACCAAAGCTCAAGAAAATTAGTGGCACATAAAATGAAATAATTGGAGTGGTAGATCCAGGAAATTTGAGATAGAGGGGCCAGAGAGGGATTTTCAGAGATGAAGGGTCAAAACCACTTTAGTTCCTCCGAGTAAGGGCTGAGTTAAGGAAATTTATGTCACCTCTAGATAGCCGAAAATGACACTCTTAAACTTAAATTTTATTTATTTCATTTATTTTTTATTTTATTTCATTTCTCCCCCAACAGTGAAAACGCCAATAACAGGGAACATGAAATACAATATAAAATCACAGCGATAAAGAAATCACAAAGAAACATTCAAAAATATTATAAGCAGTACAAAAATATTCAGGTAAAATTTATTTTATAGTTACTATTATCTACAAGGAACATTATAAGAAAGCTCAATAAAATTAATTCCAGAGCAGGTGAATGATCAATGGCAAGTTTAACTTGTGTAATTTGAATATAATTTTTTCTTCCACACCTGCATCACATCAGAGTTTTATTTACCTGATCCCTGTTTGACAGTTTGCAAATGTAACATCATTTACAATATCATCCAGTGTTTTTAATAAACTTGGCATTAATTTTTTTTCGTTTCTCAGCGAAAAGATCCAGCGCCCTTTAATGTACAAGCTAAGGTGACCATAGCAACCAACTACACAGGGACATTGCATGCGTGCCATGCCTTGATTCCATTAATTCGGTCTCATGGAAGGTAATGTTTACTTCATTTTTTTTATGCCTCTCAAAACTGCATGTAAAACAAAAGGATGGTATGAAAAAAAAAAAACATGTGATGGTATCAATAATATTATAGTTGGAAGTATACTGTATTTGTATTTTGGTATTATGCAGAGCCAACAAAAATTTCTTAGTATGATTTGTACACTAAGAAATTGTATTAAGTATATATTGAGTAAGGCTTTGTGAAAAGTGTGTGAGCCTCCATATGTCCTTAGCAGTGTTTCTCTCCCCCCTGAAGTCAATAGGGTATTTGTTAGTTAGAGGTAGTAAATTCTCTGTACATTTAGCACAAGAGTTAACATTCTACCATGTGTTGTATTTCGGCCTATTTCTGTTACAACAATTAATTCTGTGAGAATTCAGTTTGTTATTAATTCTCAAATATCACTGAAGACATTGTGACATACTGTATTCTGCATTTGGTGCCACATGATATTCAAATAGAATAAAACTTTAATAGCTAAAAAATAAAATAAAATAAAATAACTTTTTCTCAACAGAGTTTGCCATGTTGCAAGTATGTCTGGACCAATGGCATTTAACAAGATGAATCCAAAACGTCAGCAGACGTTTCGGGACGCAAAGACGGAAGATGAAGTTAACAAACTGATGGCTGACTTTGTTGAGTTAGTTTTGGTTTTATGTTTTTCTTAAAATTATTTCTTTAGTTTTTAATATGGTAATGGTATAGTGCATATAGGGCCTAGGTGCTCTTTCAACAAATGTCCAATATAGCAGAGCTGCTAATGTTGAATATCAGGTACAATTGTGTATTTTTGAAAGAAAGCATGAAACTTCCCACAGTGGTACTATGGCTATGTTCACACACACGGCGTAAGGCTGGCTTAAGCATGGCGTAGCGTACGCCTTTGTGTGTGAACTAGGCAGTGGCGTTGTTAAAGCCACTCATAACACCACATCCTTGGTGTTATTAACGCTACCTGCAGACCCCAGATTAGCTAACGCCAGTGATACTTGAATGATTTTACCTCATTTCAAGAGATTGACCAATCACGATTGCAATATTAGCTACTTTGGTCTCTTTCCTGTGCTCTCTATAAATGAAATATTAAAGGGGTTCTTTTTCTATTGCATTTTACTTAGTTATAATGTATATGATTTGTTGATTGTGTTAACCTATTTAGACTGTCTTTTAAAACCTGCAACACCAACAATGCTAGCTAAAAAATCAGAGTAAAATTGTTCATTTAAAATACAATACAGTAATCATATAAGTTCACTTCAAACAATTCACAGATTTAAAAGTTTTACTGATGCACTGTTAATTTTACTACAGTTAAGAACCCGTACATTATTTAAAACGTAAAACTATTCCCCCATAGGCCTATATTACTACTAGTTTAACGCCAGCGTTAATATAGCGAACGCCGTTTGTGTGAACACTTTGGAATTTTAATCTGTGAATTAGCTTACGCCTGGCGTAAGCTACGCTAGTCTTACGCTGTGTGTGTGAACATAGCCTATGACACCTAAGGATCATTAAAGATAATAGATCCCAAAAAAAAAAACGCCTCTTAATGGCAGCCATCTGACATAGTTTCTTATGATTGCATGCCACTCCCTGATATTGAAAACATAGGCAATGATTTTCAATTGGCAATGATATGTGTAGTAGATATGAATATATTGGCTAAAATATATTTTGGCAGCCATATTGGATTTCAAGATGGCGGCCATTAGCAGGCATTATTTCTTGGGGTCTATTTTCCTGTTGTAATAGTACCACTGTGGGGAGTTTCATGCATTCCTCCAAAAGTGCGCAATTATTCTCCTTAGCCACTCTACTAATGGAAGTTGAGTAAAAAAACAAATTCAGTAAGAGACAAATAAAAAGTAAAACAAAACAAATTAAAATACAACTTTAAATTAACACCTTTTATAAGATAGACTAATTATGCTTAGTGCATGCAAACATATTGTTTCCCTCATTTTTGTTTGCGTTGATAGAGTACTTGTTAAATTTGTATGGTTTGTTTTATTTTGTGTGTTTAATCAATTATTAATGCAAAACAAATTTTCAATTGACAGGAGTGCTGAAAAGGGTACATTAAGTGAAGAAGGTTGGCCACAGACTGCATATGGTGTTTCCAAGGCTGGAGTGGTTACCCTTACAAGAATCCAGGCTTCAGCCATAAATGCAGACTCTTCAAGAAAAGATGTCTTGATCAACTGTGTAAGTTATGTCAAAGATTATATGTGGCTAATATAAAAATACAGCACTCTGAAACAGGCTGGGGTGCAGTTGTAAGAAGAGAAATAAGAAGGCCTCTAAATTTGCATGTCTGTTAATGTTGCTGATTGAAATTAAACCAATATTCAGAAATGAATTACCTGCTTAAACAATGGTGATAATATTGAATTGAAGATTTAAACTCTGTTCCTATTCGAAAATTGAGCAATTGTGAAATAGAACCAAGATAAAAATTGAGTTAGAATTAGCAACATGGTTTGTTTGGAAGCTAGTGCTTTAAATTTGATATTTGTTGTAATGCCACCACTTTTTGTTTTTTTGTCTTTCTTTCAAGACTTGTCCTTTACTACTGTGCCAATTTAGAAAAACAAAATGCTAAAAATCTTACATGAAGGTTTGGTTACATTTATTCTATATACAGGTCTTCCTCTAATCAAAGACCACTTCCTCTAATCAAAGACCACTTCCTATTAAAGATGACTTTTTTTGTGGTCCCATATTATAAAATGTTTTAATTGTAGGCAGTGGCTGCCTT